CGGTAAATGCTTCGAAGGGAACAATCAAACATTTACGGACACAGCAAATGCGTCAGTTTTTTTTTCGTTTGAACAATCTTGAAAAAGACTGCTAGAAAGATTGTGTAACACCGGAACGTACAGGGATATGCAAGGACCCTGAGCTTGTCCCGTCGGCCCTGGTTTGGCTGCGTTGTAACAGTTGAACATCCTGTAAAATAAAGTAAGTTGGATCGCGGCAGCCTGAAAATCTCCGATAAGCGGGACACGAGCGATCTGACAATTACGGAGTAGGAACACTATGATTCAGTGTTCTGTATCAGACATGCAGCTCACCAAACTTTGGCGCCTGACGAGTATGATTTTGCCATCTTAGGCATATCTCTATCCAGCCTGTATATAATTTAAGCAAAAGTGGAATAGTATCAAGCGAAAACGATCAAATCGATGATAAATTATAAGATAAAAGACATGAACCAAGTTCGAAAGGACTAGCAATGATTCGTTTTCTAAGACCTATTACCTTCCCCGAAAACTGCCTAAGTACCTGACATATGCTTGTAAGTACCTAAGATACCTCATGGCGAATCCAGATACGTAACTGTACTTCGCAGCAACCAAGGGTGAGTATGAGGATGAGACCAGTAGTTAGCCTAGACACATCCCGGAGATTCTTAAAATCTGGAAAGAATCTGCTGCTCATTGCAACCATCCCATGATGGCCAATTGCATGATCAAAATTCAGATGACTACTATATAGGTCTTCAACCACGTGGTCAGTAACGCTGCCCTCCATACCGATTATTTCTCACCAGCCTCGCATGACGCCAGGAGGCAGGACCTGGGCTGGGGCGTATAGCAAGCCCACTGGCAGGACAGGGTTGCCTCTAAGAATTGGATGTTTCTTGACCAACCTCATCGAGGCTCCACAGTCATGTTATCCATGCTTATATTATGAGACAACATCTGGATATTGGGCACAAGATACTGGGTGAACTGGGCTTGACTAGCTCGTGCTGGATCTATTTTATTGTTTGCCTTTTCAATGATCAAGATCAAGTAGAGCTATGCCCCAAGCACTATGTTGAATGACACTGCTGTGTGACTGCTACAGAACATGGTCAGATACGGTTCTCACTCAAAGATAGACGCGGTTACAGTTGCTTCATTGTATCTTCTATTCCGACGAGATACTATGTTATGAAGCAGTGATACTACGTGTGTACTCTGTACGAAGTCCCATAATGCGGAAGCCTCGATCATGAAAGCACAAGACCCTTGTTTCCAAAGCATATACAGCTTTTACGACACGATACGAGAATACAAATCACCAACCTATTATTAATCACGATATCATGAAAACCGACACTTGTGGCCGCGGAAAGATCAAAGGCAATCCAATTGCACTCCGGCTGATCCTCGAGTGTTGGAGGTAGGTGCTGCTAGGAGTCGAGATGCCTGACTCACCAGAGAGTTGCTGGAGACACGATGATATGTAGCATTCATGCCGAGATCGGTGGCCTGAGATAGACTGAACTCTGCTGTAACGAAACGGCCCTCGATTCACGCTGACCCGGCTTCTGAACAAATCGTCAGGACGAAGCTGGGAAACCTTCACGATGCCAGTATTAGCCTCTAATACCGATCTAGTAGTACAAAGTCATGTTTCCTTCAGTCTGTCGCTGGTCTCAAGCACACTTGACAACCTTGTCATCATCAAACTCTATGTCGACGATCCCATCCGCCTTGACCGCCTTCACTACCATACCCTTGAAGTCGATTGGTAATCGGCGCTTCAGTTCGTCGGTGCACATTGTCAGGATCTTGATGCCCTGGTGGAGTGTGATATCGGGGTGATGGTGCTTATCGAGGATAGACAGGCAGTAGTATCTGTGATGTTACGAATCAGCACCAGTCCAGGTCCATTCACATAATTTGTTCTGAGAACATAGTCCTCGCAACAACGTACTGTGCGTATCCATGCGCAGCATAAGGAACATCTGCTAGCGACGCTAGATAATCGAGCCAGTAGAGCGAAGGCTTGCCAGTGATGGGGTCAACACCACCCATAAGGAGGTTGACATTGTAGGGCTTTCGGGATCGCAGACTAGTGGCTAGCTCTCCACGAACAAAGTGAGCCAGGCCAGACGGAGAAAGATCGGACTCGTTTCGCATCGAGTAGAGCTGGGCATTTCGTTGAATGTATTCGGCAAATTGCACTGCGGAGTGAGCGTTAGCTGTCGTCATCGCGGAGCCTGTCGACGTGGACCTAATTCAAGTACCTGTGTCGCCGGCCTCTCCAGAGAATGCGAGAAGTGTATGCTTGTTAAGAGCTCTGGTCTTGTCATCGGATGCCTTGAGGATAGTGGCGCCCCGCATCGCAGCCTTGGATGCTGCAATGATAGTAAAGTCCTTTCCAGTGATTCCCAAAAGCACCTCCCTGTTGATCAATGTCAGAAAAGCCTGGAGCAGTAGATGCAGCTTGTGGGGGGCCTACATGTTGACGATGATTTGAAATGTAGTGGAGGAAAAGGCGATATGTTGTTGTGGAGGAGTTGTTCCCGGTAGTTGTTCAGCCTACTTCAAGGTCCAGTAGTAGCAACCAAGCAAGCAAGCTCTCCTTAGGCTGTAGCGCTGCGCGTCAACACTTGCTCGGGAAGCTTCCCATACCAGGTTCGTTTGTGCCTCTCTCGACCGCCTGAAACGGAAAAACCAGACCCACTTACCAGGCTATGACTGGCCAGTTGGATGCTCGTGTCAGTTAGATTTTCCGCGATCCACTGTCGCCCATCTTTTTTTTTTTCTGAGTCTAGAAATTTATCTTCGAGGCGGGTCAAAAGTCGTGAACAGAGAGCCAAGTTCACGACGTTGCCACAATGTCGTCCTTTTTTACGGTTCCAGGTGCACAGAAGAAGCGAAAGCGTACTGAGACTTCAGAGCAACCAAAGAAAAGAGTTGCGCCCTCAAAATCTGCTGGCAAGATAAATTCGAAGAACGCCGGCCCCACCAAAAAGCGAGTCGAGCGAGATGACGAGTCTATCTCAGGGAGCGATTCTGACGATGACGAGAGCCACGATAGCGCCTCAGTCGCGAGCGACGTGGAAATGGATGACAACGAGTCTGATGAGGAGGAGGGCGAGACTGCCGCTGAGCGAAGACGGCGGCTAGCAGAGCGGTACCTCGAGAACATCAAGGAGCGCGTGGACGTTACTGGTTTTGATGCCGCCGATATTGACCGGGATCTGATTGCCGAGCGACTGCAGGAGGATGTAGCAGAGGGCAAAGGTCGGGTATATCGCCAATTGGCCTCGGAATTAGGATTTGACGACGCTTCGCGCACCTTCTTCCGAAGCAACACCAACACTGTCACTGCCATCGCTACATGCGCCCCCTACATCTACACCACAACGAAGGATCTATATCTACAGAAATGGAAGACCCAAGATCTCCCACAACACCAGTACCCACAGACAACCAAGCGGAAGCCAAAAAAGCCCCCAGCACCTCCGAGGAAGCGGCCTGTGTTGGAGGCGTGGCTCAAAGGAAATACGACAAAGTCAAAAGACAAGAACTATCAGCGCCATACAGACCGTATTCTTGCTGTTGCAGCCTCTCCCGATGGCAAATATGTAGCCACTGGTGGTGCAGACCGGAAGCTTATTATCTACGACGCCAATGCCCTCAAGCCCATCAAGGTTTTCACACATCACAGAGACGCTGTTACTGGACTCGTCTTCCGAAGAGGAACGAATCAGCTTTACTCATGCTCCAAAGATCGCACGGTAAAGGTCTGGAGCTTAGATGAAATGGCCTATGTTGAAACGCTGTTTGGTCACCAGGACGAAATTCTCGATGTCGATGCCCTTGCGCAAGAGCGATGTGTTAGCGTTGGCGCACGAGACCGTACTGCGCGTCTCTGGAAGGTCGCCGAGGAGACACAACTTGTCTTCCGCGGTGGTGCTGTAGACAAGAAGTCACGTCCTACGGGTGTTCACCCTCGATCTCTCCTTCACGAAGGTAGCATGGACCGAGTAGCCATGATCGACGACGATCTCTTTGTCACGGGGAGCGACAACGGTGCTCTTGCTCTATGGAGTGTGCAGAAGAAGAAGCCTGTGTACATAGAGCCCATTGCACATGGCATCGACCCGCCCCTGGAGCCCGAGGAGGCATCGGCCGAAGTGAACCCAGACCCCAAGATCGTGCCACCTCCCACACCCCGTTGGATCACCGCTATCCGAACCATTCCCTACTCTGACGTTATTCTGACTGGCAGTTGGGATGGTCATATTCGAATCTGGCAACTCAGTGAGGATAAGCGCAAGATTGAGTTCCGTGGGGTCCTCGCCAAGCATGAAGACGGAGAGAAGACGTCCCATGAGGAGAATGTTCATGGCCCTCTTCATGGTGTTGTAAACGATATCGACATATTTGAGCGTGGTGATAGAGGCAAAGATGGTCTTTGCGTGGCTGTAGCTATCGGAAACGAACATCGACTTGGCAGATGGAACCCTCCCGCAAAGGCTGGACGCAATGGAGGTTTCATTTTCGAGATTCCAAGGATACAGCGGCCAGCGGTAAACGGCACGAATGAGAGCGCGAATGGAGACGAGCAAGATGAATAAAAAAGCATAATAGATACTTGAACCAACCACTCAATAGACGTGGAGGAGACTATAATTCACACCACATGTTATATATCATTAGCATGCATATTGGGGATCAATAGGTCTGGGGACCGATGATGCTTCAGGAGTCGGGTGTTAAATAGGAAAAAGCCTTTGTGGTGGGTATAAACTTTGATCGTCTTTCTACACCTCTAATGTCTCTCTTTCGTTATGTCACCTCTTTCCCTTTCGATTTCGTGCCCCAAGCAGCCGGAGCATAGGGAACTGTAGTGATAACATGCTATAGCACCTGAAACTATCGTAATCATACATAGCTGTAGGGGCTAAATCCCCCGACACCCTGTTCTCATAGACAAACTCGTCGTGCCATCACCGACGAAGACAGAAATAATCTTATACTGTCAAGTCGATAGACTGATCAACTCCGTCATATTGTGGTCCTCTTGGAGGTGACATGTCGTCCTCTATGCTTCTCACAATAGTCTGTTCGAGCTGAACAGCTCGCTGGCTGCCTCCAGATCCTGGCGATGGATGCTGTCTTGTTACTAGAGAGAGCAGCGGTGAACTAGCCCTCTTCACAGTAGATGAAGTGGCTGTTGGGGCCATGCCATCAGGCGAGTCAGGTAACTTGTGTACGAATTCAGGAGTTGAAGGCTGCTTAGGCGGCCGCTCGTCGCGCAACCCTTCTGTGGTCAACCCAGAAGGGACAGGTGGTACGCTGTTGATAGGCGATGATCGAGCCGAGTGATACACATCTCCTGAGCTAGAGGCCTTAGACTCATTGCCCGAGTCCTCTCTGAGAGGTTGGACGAGGGATGGTTCATCAACTCTTTTGGACGTTGGGGACTGGCCTGGCCTCTCGGCAGAAGCAACTGCAAAATATGAAGAAGTGGTCCCTGTTTGTCTAGCCGCCTCAATGGGCGAGCCACTGGCGCCGTTTACTGATGGGGTTGTTAGATAACGGCTGACTTGTGGTGTCTCTGGTTCTCTTCGGGGCACCTGTGGTGAAGAGGCAGGTATCTGCGGTGAGGAGACGGGACCCCTTGTTGCCCTCCGCTGTCTCTTTATCTCCTTTTCTTTTTCTAGACGCTCATGCTGCTTCTCTTGACATTCGAAGAGAAGATCCCTCACCTTGGCACGAATCTCAGGGGCGTTGATTTTCCATTCGGTGTCTTCTTTGTGAAGGAGTCTTCGAACAGCCTCATCTGGGTCCTTCAGGAAATTTTCCATGTAACCCAGGACGTACACACCACAGTCGCAGAAATTGTCTTGCATCGGAATGCCTCGAGCAGTCATGCCGCTGGGTACACTGTTGATCTCGAAGCCCTTCTTGTGCCTTGCTTCCTCAAAGAGATAGTCCTTTAGACACCTGCAGGTTGGTGGATGCGATGAGCCTAGCGAGTCGAGTGTAATGATTTTTGAATCGTCAAGGCTGAACTTCTGGTTTCCTCCAGTCGACTGTCGTTTGTTTGTTCTGCCAGGAGTCGCTATGCTCGGCGTATGCTTGTCATCAATTAGAGAAGGGTTGCTGTCATTAATCGCCCGGCTTCTGGTTGAGCGGGTAACTTCCACATCTATAGACACAATGGGAGGCTTTGTTGCAGCAGGAAGACTCTCTGCACGATTCATTACTGGGTCATTATCCTCAACAATTATTGCATCTTGTGTATTCCAAGACTCCTTGATGTTTGGTTCCGCTTTCACCTCTTGTTGCAGAAGACGAGGTGCATTGTATATAATGGCCAGGTACCAGTGCGCGTTTTCGTTAACGGGAACAACAATGAACTCGTATGACAGCAGTTCGACGCGGGCAGTCCAGGCTTTGACCCCATCATAGTTGATCTTGCCACGATTTGATCTGAGCTTCTCGAAGAAGAATGTACTAAAAATGTACACCTTCTTGAGGACCTCTGGCCGCTCTTTCTCAAGCCGGTCTTGTAGATAGCGAAGATAAAAGCTGATAATATTGTCGTTGAGAAATTCGCCTTCATCCAGCCGTTGGATATCATCTTTATCGACTGTTGCCCGGTTCTTTCCTGTTGGAGGCCACACCAAAGATCTGTGCCACTTTTTCTCCCAACCAGGATTGCAAACCGTCCATGGTTTCAGGGTTCTTCCATATTGAGATTGCGGAGATTCTCTTCTTGTTGATTGCCGAGTCGCGAGCCTTGGGTTGCGAGCCAACCCTGTAAACACATCATCGGTGTCGGGCGGTTCCATTTGCACACCGTCGTTTGGCTCAAGGTTGCTTTGCATCCCATCCCTGAGCTTCTTTTGTTTCAAAGCAGGAAGGCCAGGCGAGACAGGATCACCTAAGAAAGGATCTCTGTGGTGCTGCTGAGATCTGAAATCGTGGGCCCTATGATTTTGATCCGGTAAGAATATACCAGATGCCTTCGCTGAGCTTGTCCTGTAACCGTCGGCCTCTTTCTTTGCGCAATGGAATGTTGCATCCAGCTTGCTTCTGGGGAATTGTTAGTTTATCTTTAGAAAGCCATAAAGTTTTCGACAAGCACTTACGGGCTGCATTCAGAGAGGCATGGCAAGCCTTGCAACCAGTGGATGAAGAATGAGGCGTCTGCGTCGGTCAGAAACTTCAGTGCGAGTTTGCCGCAGGAAAAAGATGCTCTGGCTGAGCGACCAATGAGGACAATGGGGCTATTAGTGTTATTGTGTTTGACATCTTGAATTGAAGACTGCGAAACCTGAAGCCAGGAGAGATCTCCGCTATTCTCATGCATGGGCTCAGCAGCGTCGGGACCAAGTCGAAGGATGACTGGCTCAAGATTGTCTGTTGGAGAGAATGAGTATTTCCCACAGACTGCAGCCTCTAAGGGAACATCTCTCGTCGCTAATCCCTTGTTAGCCAGGTTTTCGCGCCCCGGCATGGCTTTTGTTGCTTTGAATGTGGTAGACTGTATGTCACCCCGTTGGATTCGCGGTTGTGAAATTAGCTTCGGGAAGGCAGGCTTCTTGACTGCCTCACGGGGCCCAGGAGCTCTAGGCGCAAGCTCATCATCAGACTGCTGCGAGTGCACCTTGAACCGCTTTGGCGCGCTCTGGCTATATTCTGTTGCTGGCCGCTTTGCATGAGAAACGACATCAGATGTGACGTTGGCGGGTGGCGGACCATCCTCATTTTCGCCAGCTAATTGGTCTGGGCTTGTAGGGGGGTGTGAAGTTTGAGGAGCAAGGTTTCGGTGCGCAACGGCACTCGTATCGTCAATTTCGATAGGTGACGAGGATATTTTGGATTCCTGTCTGCGCCGCCGTCGGGGACGTTTCACGCTGTTGTGACGGTGAACATTGCGGTACTCTTGCTGGTTGCTCGTAGCTCCTGCAGTCCTACCGAGACTGATGATGCTTGAGCCATCGATAGTTTCGACCATAGAGTCTTCTCGGGTCAAATCGTGATACTTTTGCGGCGAGCTTTGCGTTTCTTCGTCTTCGATTGCTTCTAGCGGCTGGTGGAGAGAACTCGGGGGAGGGAAGGAGTGGGACAAATTCGTGTTGGACAATTCAGGCCCGGATGGCTTGACTCGCTTGTTCGGTCGATCATATCGGGGTTCGCTGGAGTAACTTCTTGCTTGAGTGGATTGCCCGCCACCCATCGAGCTTCGTGGTTTCTGGTCATTGATTGCTCTCTGCTCTGAATATCAGTAACTAGGATGTATCTTCGCAAGCGCAGTGAGAGACTGACAATCCGTGATTTCATCTTCGATTCTTCACCCGGAGCTCTGCAAAAGGTGTCAGCAGGAAGATTTCACGAAGAGTGGACAAGGAGCCTACCCATAATCCGGGAAAGAGTTGGCGGTGGAGTAATAGCGTGCGAGAGGGCTAAAGCGAATTAGAGCGAAGCTCAGCGGAATACGCAGCAGTATGGAAAGGAAAGAAGAAGAGCAATGCGCACTCCCATCGAGCCTTTTTCCTCCACTGATCACCTATTGACGAAGACTGTGCGTGGGCCTCCAGCTTTTCACCCTGGCAGTTCACGATGCGGCAGGCTATGAGGCGGTCATCAGCAGCCGCCAGATGTTCGTACAGCAGATATCAGAGGCTCCCTGAGTTACAGGCAGGGCCGTCGAGTATGAAGAGCACAAATTTTCATGAGCAAAGAACGGTGACTTCTTGAATCGAGTATATATTGTCTTCCCTGAGTTGCTGAATGCAAGTTTGAATGGACGGTCCAAGCGAGACCACTAGACGCTCCACTGGCTTGGCTGGCTTCCAGTGGGGCTACGCTCCAGTTAGTGCGACTTCGGCAGAAACTTGGAGCCCAGATAGTGATGACTACGTACCTTGGGTAGGCGCCTACCTACTTTAGGTAAGCTGGTAAGGTAGGATTACTGAGTTGTCAAAATGTTAGCCTCCCAGGGTCCAATCTAATGGGGGTTGAACACGTCCAATATCTTCTACATATTGATTTGAGTACCTATACTATTTCAACATGAAACACTGCAAGTCCCGTGTAGATGTTGGAATATGAGGGATTCCCGTGTCCACATTAATCAATAATTGGATTTTCTATGTGATACCTCTTCGATGAGATCATCTTTCTGAATCCAGTCCAGTTGGGCAGTGGAGTTCAGAGAACACACAGCGGTCCAATCACAAGGCCGAAATCTCATAGCTCCAGACTCACCTAACTTAGGTACCTTAGACTGCACGTCTCGTCCGTCCCAAAACGTGGCCAGTAGCTCCAACAACTCGAACACCAAGACGCGACATCGTCAACGTTTCTCCTTCAAGCTCTCCTTTGCTTCTTGTACATCACTTCGAGAGCAAAAGCTGCCACTGCAGCTAATCAAAAGCTCATTATGTACAATTCTCTCACTCGTATTCAAAACACCTTTGGTTTCTTTACCACTGTCGCATTTGTGGTCGCAGCTTTTATCGCTGTGTCTGACCTCTTGGCTCCGCGGGCGCCTGATGCTGGCATATTCCAGAAGACAAGCGCTCAAGTGTATGTCTTCTCCTTCTAGAACCGAACATTGTATACTGACTATCTTTTTGTCTTGCAGTGTGAAGGGCCGGCCACACTACTACAGCTCTAAGAAGGAGGAATACGCCATCATTCGATTCAACCTCGATGCTGACTTGAGGAGCCTCTTTACGTGGAATACCAAGCAGGTCTTTGTCTATGTCACTGCTGAGTGGCCTGGCCCCAACAATTCGACTAATGAGGCTGTTATCTGGGATAAAATCATTACCAACCCCAGCGCCGACCATCTCCAGAACATTGGACCTGTTGCGATGAAGAAGCTAAAGCGCAGCGCTGAGGGCAAGTCTATCGATCCTGAGCGGTAAGTCTCTCTGTATCCACAAGTATTTACACATCAACTAAAGATATTATAGTGGCTTTATCGGTCTCAAAAATCAGAAGCCAAAGTATCAGATCACCCACCCCAGTGGAAAGGTCGCCGAGATAGATGACGTGAAGCTCAAGCTACATTACAATGTTCAGCCGTGGGTCGGGTTCCTAACTTGGGATCAGTCCCGGGATATCGGTCACTGGAGGGCTTTGAAATGGGGAGAGTCGCCTAAGTTCCAGCTTCCTGCTCTCAAGTCTAAGAAGAAAGATAGTCATAAGAAGAGCTACTAATGATAGACAAATACGTTTGTGTTCTTGAAATTGCATTCGCGGTGTAATATGGCCCTCATGTCTTTGACAAAGCCATAATTGTAACTCTATGCAGGCATGATCCCTCTGACAAGATCTGTTCGCACTCGTGACTCCGTGATACAAGTATCCAGCTTTTGTCTATCGTACATTTCACATCCACAACTTTTATCTCAGCGCTGGCTATGTTTTAAACAATCCAAGCATTTCAACAGCATGCTGTAACACACGGCATCATGAACATTCCGTCAGTCATCGCCCATACAAGTATGAATCAGAACTGCGAGGCATCTAGCCTTGGGTTCCATCAGCAGCAGCTCCTCCGTTGCCTCGTCCGCGGCTGGCTCCGCCTCGCCCTCTTCCACCACGTCCACGTCCACGGCCCCTGCCTCGGGGTGAGTCAAGGCTGGCTGGTGGAGGAACGTTGCCATATCTCTGTTCCTGCGGGAGCTCGACCCCCTGGTACCTATCAGGACCGGGGGGACTATGATGGGTACCGCGTGCGCGACCGCGACCTCCTCTACCTTGAGTTCCGTGCCCATTAGCGTCCTGGCCTTGAGTTGCGCCGTCGGGAGGGCCATTCCGGTAAACCAAGGTGCTGTGCATGAGGTTAGGAGCACCTCCACGAGCGCTGTTTCCTCGTCCTCGTCCAGGGGAGTTGCGCCCAGGTGAGTTGGAGCCATTCAAGGCTCCGCGCCATCCACCACGAAGCGGACCAGGTGCTGGGGCATCCTTATACTGTGTGACACCCACATTCGCATATCCACCGTGGGCGGCGAGGACTGGTCGTCGCTGTTGTGACTTGCTTGTGGTTGAGATTACTTGTTTGTTCGTGGTATTAAGGACCGAAGAAGACGCCACAGTCTGTCCACGGAACATTGGAGCTCTCTCGTTAAGCGTGGTGCCACTCATGAACGATGTGTCCCAGACAACATCTAAAAGCAGGGCGGTAGCTGTGCGGCTGATACCAGCAACAGTTCCACGAGTCGCGATAGGAACTTTTCCAGCGGCAGAGACGTAAGTCACCCGATCTCCCAGGGCAAAGTTCTGACTGCCGAGCACCATCTCAGCATCAGACGGCTTGAGAAGCGCTGAACGAGGAACGCTACGCAGTTTTTTGATCTCAATATCCTGAGAAGCAGCGTGAATTTGCTCTCCGACATTAGCCAGGGCCTTGACAACCTCGGAGTCGAGTTGCTCAGCTTCCAAAGGAACACGCTCGAATTTGCTGGTCTCCTGCTTCTTAAGCCAGGCCACGATCTCCTTGACTCTCTGTGAAGCAACACTGGGGTCGTTCCAAAGATCGGTTTCGAGAACCTCGCTCTTCTGAGGTTCCCTCTGGATGGCCGCAAAGAAATCGGGGAAGGCAACCATGTAGTCAGCAATCAACTTGATTGCCATGCCACTGAATTCCCAGCCGGTGTGAGACTTCCTTGAGTAGCCCAGAACCTTGAGTTTTCGTCCTTCGAATTTCAAATTCAGTCCCAAATTCAGTCGAAGTCCAGCAGAATTGATAATTTGATACGAAGACGTAATCTTGCTCAGAACAAGAGGATGAATTCCCAACTGCTTGGCAACAGCAAAAGAAGGGGTGTAGGGGTTGGAGCGTTCTGCCTGGTGGATAATTTGCTTCGCAAAGTCTGGTTCCTTATTCTTCAGCATCGAAACAACGATCTCAGCCTTGTTATTGGCGTGGGCAGCAACTTCAAGAGGGCGTCCGTATGCGTACTCTCCCAGGAAAAACGCACGCGTACCCCGAGGAAATTCTTCATCGATTGGCAACGCCTCTTTTTCAATGAAGCGTTCATCTTCGTTAACGACTTCGTCAACAATGGTCTGCGCAGCATAGGTGCTTCTCAGGCTGGGATTCTCAGCATACTCTTTAATCAGGGCTCCCTCTTCCGTACGAATGAGACCCTTGAGCATATGGACATATACCAAACACTCAACCTGTCCGATGGTGATTGCCAAGCGTTTGGCATGCCAGTTCTCCAGATAATCAGCCTCTTTGGCCCAATCGGCAGCCTCCCTGTTATTGTGGTCCTTCGTCACAATATCTTTACCATTGTCGGCCATTTCGTAGCTGAAAAGTTCGTCTTGCACCTTGATGACTTTGGCTTCCTGAAGGAACGGGTATCCAACGAAGCATCGATGGCCTATTTTGGCCTTCCAAGTTTCTATCTTGGTACGATTCTCCGTTTCAGTCAGTGTGACACAGATGCTTGGGTTTCTGCTGTCAGCCTGGAATACATTGACACCGTACCCTTCAACGAGCTGGGCGGTATACGGAAGAGTGTGCAGCGAAGGGAAGCCGGCCAGTGCGTCGACGCTTAGCAAAGCACCGTTAGTCAAGCCTGACAAGTATTCAAGTCCCTCCATGTCCGGAAGGTCGAAGATATTCTCAATACAGCGACAGTTCTGGATCTCTGGGAAAACGCCAGGTAGTGGTGAAGGATACACAAAATCGACTTCAGGGGAATAGGTGAACTTCAGAGGAACCCCAAATCCGTTGCGAGCCTTCTCATCAGGTTCCAGCAACTCGTTTTTGGGGGCCATCGCGGTCAATAAGCGCTTTTCGTCGATGAATGGAATCTTGATAACTGCTTCCCAGTCCATTTTCTTGCCATTCATGTCAAGTTCGAAGTCTCGTGGATAGAAGTCAATGATTGGAGAGTCAGGATTCGTCATCAGGTCGTGGTAAACCTTAGGGACGATCTTCTTACTCCGGTCCGGTAACACACCCATGAGTTGTTCGTATGGCAAAAAAGGTTGGCCTTTTTTGAAGTTGAGGTCCGCACCGACACCCTTGACGACATCTGCAATTTGTCAGCTACAAGAATGCATATACCGCCATATCACGTACCTGAAATAAGCGGTGCATAATGGTACCCGTAGAACCAAGGCCATGATGCAATTCCTTGATAGTAGTAGTACAAGACCCACTGGAGACCCTGGACGTAGTTCTCACAAAGCGCTGTAAGCTCCTTGTCG